ATGGATTCTATAGTCCAACATATGAAGCATGTGTCAGTTGGGATGGGGTGAGTGGGGACACTGCCCTCCTGCCTCCGTTTCCCCCCATTCTACACGAGATGACGGGCAGCCTGACCTCCCCACTTCTACCAGCTCTAACTTCCTGCAGTGTTCTTTCCCCTTGAGAAGTCACAGCTCCACGTGGACCTCAGAAGCAGATTTCAACAGAACATCTAAAAACAGTCAGTGCAGAAACTGCTGCGAGAAGGCAAATAGGAAACGGCACCACGTCCTACTGGAATCTCCTTCAGTGACTGAGAGTTTTGTTTTCTGGTAAAAAATATAGAAATAGTGGTTGTTCTTGGGGGACTTGTGGTTTGGTTCTGGACCTCCCCACAGAGCCAAGTGGCGTCCCTGAGGGCCAGGATGGCAGAGGCCTCTGCTCAGAACTACGCTGAGCTCATGCGCAAGTTTTTGATCTCTAGTTCCAGCTGCTTGGCTTGGACTTCCCGCTGGGTCACCAGCTCGCGGAGCCTTCGGATCTCCTCCTGTTGCCGATAGAACATCTGCAGCAGCTGGAAAAGCACAGGGCAGAGGGCAAGATCACCTGGGTGGCCTGGGACTGTGGCTGGGGCAGGTCCCCAGCAGAAGAGCCAAAACATTACCTCTTTTTTGTCCCCCTCCCCTCCCTTCCTTGGCGCCCTTCCACTGACCCCACCCCCTCAGCAGACCCCCTTTCACACCTCGTTCTCTGTCTTTGGTGGGGGACATTCGAAAATATCAAAGCCATTTGTGAGCCAGGACTTCTTCTCCTCGGGCCTGTGTTCCACAGCCCACCTTGGCGCCTTCCCCTCCGGCTGGGAGACGGGCCTCTGGCCGTCCTCTGCAGACAGCTTTGCAGTGTGGTCCAAGAGCTGGGGTGAGGTCCGGGCCGTGGGGGTGGAGAGGGGCTTCTCTGGAGGCAGTGGTCGGGGGCTCAGCGGCTGGGAGCCGGGCCTCAGGGACACCAGGATTGGCTCTGGGAGGGAAGAAGCCAAGGACGGTAAGAGGACTGAACATGGGACGCAGACACAGGCCGACACACAGTCACACAGCGACATACAACAGGCGCAGGAGATCCAGCCACCTGCGGAATGGCGCAAGTCCACGGATGGATGGGACAATCAGACCCGAGTACCCATGTGTGTAACTAAGCAAAGGCTCGTTTGTGGGAACAGCGCAGTTCAGGCCCTGGGGCTGCCCCCATGCACGGGGAACTCCTTGAGTGACACCTTGTCCTGACTCTAAAGACGGTCCTGTCACACTGCACTCTGCCATCTACCAAGTTCATTAGTCCTCCCAACCGTCCTGGGAAGCAGGGGAGGTGGGCATCAGGCCCAGGGGGGAGGAAACAGGTCCAGGGAGGAGCAGGCCCTGTCTAAGGGCCACACAGAACAGGGAGCTGACTGCCTCTGGCCCCAGCTGAGGCTCTTCCAGTGCACAGGAAGGCTCCCCTCACCCGCGTGGGAGGAGACAGAGGGGGCAGGGAGCAGCTGGGTGGGGAGGAGGACTCCCTCACTGGGCAGGAGGGGGACAGAGGGGCAGGCCAGGCTGAGGCAGCCTGGGTGGGGCCTGCAGCCTAGAGGGTTCCCTGGAGTCAAATAATTGCAGCCATAGAAGTGAGGGGCTGGGGAGTCTGGCTGAGGCTGCTCAGTGGCCCTGCGGAGCCCAGGTGTGATGCTTTCCTGGGGACATATCCATTGGGTTGGAGGGAGTTTTTGGAGCCACTTGGGTAAGTCCCTGCTTTCCTGGCCTCTCACGTGTCTGTCAAGGGCCTCTCCTCAGAGGCCACAAGAAAATGAAAATACAGGTCCACTGGGATTCCACTCCCCCCCACGCTCCTCACCTCTGTTCATCCCGCTGAGCCACTCCCGGGCAGTCAGGGAGGGCTGGGCCCCTGCTGTGGGCGGGTAGATGTCCTCCTGGTAGGATTCCGACTGCAGGGAAAGTCCAGATGGTGACTCCTGCTGAATCCAGGAAACCCAGGCCCAGAGACCAGAGGGGCTGGCCCAGAGACACACAGCAGCTCAAGAGCTGAGGTAGGGAGAGAGCCAGGACTCCTGGCCCCAGGGATGTCACCCTGACCATGAGGAGGGCCTTCCCTTGGAGAAGCGGCTCTCAGCTGTCCTGTGGCTGCCACCAAGGGATGGGCTGGAGGGTCTGGGACCCTGACCACCCCGGGTCCGTCTTCTCCAGGAGGGGTTCCCCCCCTGCCCTCCCGAATGGCCCCCACCTCCCTTACCCGCCTGGGTACAATCATGGATATGGGCTCAATGAGGCTTTTGGTTGTGATCAGCTTGTAGAAGCGGAAGATCTCGCAGGAGGACACTTCGAGACCTCTCTTTGGCATGGTACCTGGGGACAGAGGGCCAAGGAGAGCCAAGAGGTTCCGGCTGGGCTGGGGCCGCAGGGACCGAGCAGGAGGGGAAAGCCAGGCTGCACACCTGGACGTGGAGAGACACTGCCCTCCTCCTGCCACCTCCCCTCAGCGAAAAGCTCATGAAGGACACCTACGCTGGGCTGGGCCCTGCACTGGGAGAATGGGGTTGAGACAGTCGGACCCTGCCTCCAACTTGCCATCCTCCTGCCTCAGCCTCCTGAGGAGCTAGGATGATAGTCATGTGCCACTGCGTGCAACCAAAGAGGGTTTCTTAGGGATAAAAAGTTGGATCTTCTTAAATCCCTAAAGAAAGGAGGAGGGGCTTGCTCCCTGGAGGCTCCGATTTCAATACATGAATTTCAATATCCGAGTCCTCCCAGACCTCCGATACTGAAATTCCATCTCCGCTGAGAGGAGTGAAGAGCTGGGAACTGAATCTCCGCGTGGAGAGACGGGAGGGATTAGGATTGGATGAGGTCATCAGGGTAGAGCCCTCTTGGTTGAAGCCCAGTGGCTCTCTGGGACCACAAGCCACACACATGCATGCTCCTGTCCCATCTCATGACGCCCTGTGCTGCCCTGGGACTCTGCCAGCACAAAGACCAGCACCAGACGCAGCCCCCTGACCTGGGACCTTGAGGATCCCGAGTCAGAACACACCTCATCTGTGGTCAATACTGTGTTCCTGGCAACAGGAAGAGGCTAAGACAGCCACAGGTGAGGGCCGCTGTGGGTCCCCTCCCGCTGGCTGCTCCCTGCCGCCCCCGCAGCCCGGGGTCCCGCTCACCAATGCCCTTCTGCGGGTTGTAGGAGCGGTACTCCGTCAGGTAGTTCAGGTGGGGCTTCTCGGCGCTCACCTCATAGTAGCGGATGTTGCCGTCTCCCTGGGAAACGAGGAGGCCAGACTCGGCCGGTGCCCAGCAGCACACCCCGGCCACCGCCAGGCGGCCAGATCCCCGCTCTCAGCGTGAACGGCTGGCAGCCCCCCTGCCCCACAGGGGACACCAAGGCAGGCAAGAGAGTGTCCTCCCACCACGACCAATCCCCCCCCCAGATCCTCCCAGGCCAGGCAAAGCTCTGGGGAGGCAGGCCTGAACCTCCGCCCACCCTGGTGCCACCCACGGAGGTCAGCCCTGGCAAGTCCTCAGAGTCAGCCCGAGAGTCTTGGCCCTCGGGGGACACCGCTGGTTGTCATAGTGACTTGGAGGTGAGGAGAGCACCGACCCTGGCATTGGGGAAGAGGTCAGAGGTGCCAGGTATGGACAGCCCTACCCGGTGGGCACCGGCTCTGCCCCAACTTCACGGTGCCCTGCTGAGAAACGCCCTGGACCCAGAGGTGGGGAGGGACAAGCTTGGAGTGTCCAGCCAAGTCCTGGTCCCAGGGGTTCCTCTGGAGCAAGGAGGGTGGCCGAGGGGTGCTCTCCCGTGGGGAAGAGTGGCCTGTCCCTGCCCTATACTCGCAAGGGCCCAGGCTGGGACATCTCTGCCTTCTGCCTCAGGGCTCCGGTGGCCACCTCCCTCCTGTGCCAGGCTGACCTTCCCCACTATGTAGAGCATGTTGGTGTCCACGTCGTAGAAGGGAAACAGCACACCTGAGGAGCCGTCCAGGTCCTCCTCTGTGAGAGGCACAGAGAGGTTGTCCTGCAAGGGAAGGGAGACCAGGAAGGCCCGTGAGTCGCCTGGGGGCCTCGGTGGTGCTTGCCACAGGGCCGTGTGTGTGAGAAAGAATACTGACTTTGTGTGTTATGTGTTGGGCCCCTGGCTCTGGAGGTTCAATTTGTGGCTTGTCATAATGACGTGGAGGAGTCAAGAGCCCAAGGTGGAGATGACATTTTAAAGGGACTAAAACAAGCTGGGAGGGTGGCGCACACCTGTAATCCCAGCAACTCGGGGAGGCTGAGGCAGGAGGATTGCAAGTTCAAGGCCAGCCTCAGAAACTTAACAAGACTCTCAGAATCTTAGTAAGACCCTCTCCAAACAAACAAACAAACAAACAAATAAATAAAAGGGCTGGGGGTGTTGCTCCGTGGTTAAGCATCCCTGGGTCTAATCCCCAGTCCCATGATAAATAAATAAAACACTTAGGTATCCCTCCACTTGTTTGGCAGCATTTTGCCATTACCGAGTCACTTTTGGCACACCTGATCTCACTCTGCTCCCCTGCTGCCTGCCTCCCCCCATCTTGTGTGATATTTTATTGCCTTGGCATCGGGAATTGAAGCCGGGGGCTCCTGACTCCTTCAATGACCAGCTGCACAAGGTCTGGCCTTGCCCAGGGGCATCTCCCTGCTCTCCACCCTGAACCCCGGCCCAGCCCTGGGCAGACCCTGCCAAGTGTGTGTGAGAGACCCCTGAGAGAAGGACCCAAGCCCACCCTCAGCTGGGGGCCGGGCGATGCCTGAGGCTCACCTGGTCCCACAGGGCCATCTGCCGGTTGTTCCACCGAGATGTGCCCGTGGACAGCAGCTTCTTCATGTTCCCCAGGAACAGCACCTTGTTGGCCCGGTGCCCCTTGTAGCTGGCTTCCTGGAGGGAAAGGTGGAGTCAGTGTCGGGGACGCTGGGAGGGCACGCCTGGGCCATGAGCTGGGGTTTCTGCTCCACATGGAAGGACCCCCCAACTCTGCTAGAGAAGCCACCCAGGGGCACCATCTCCAGGAAGCCTTCCCAGGTCACTCCCCTCTACATGAAGACTCTCCTACTATTTTTTTTTTTTGGTCCCTGTGGATTGAACCCAGGGGCACTTAACCCTGAGCCACATCCCAGCCCTCTTACATTTTTATTTAGAGACAGGGTCTCACTGAGTTGCTGAGGCTGGCTTTGAACTCATGCTCCTCCTGCCTCAGCCTCCTGAGCTGCTGGGGTTCCAGGTGTGCGGCCCCACACCCAGCTTTCCCACTATTTTTCAGAGGTAGGATACAGGAAACCTCCGCCAGCTCCACATCTTGCCCAGCGATACTGAGCACCCGCTGTGGGCCAGGCATGGGGCTGGGTGCAGGTGGCATGAGGGTTGTTCTATTTAGTCTTCTGAGAGGCCTATTGTCGCCGATGAGCAGATAGGCTCAGAGAGTGGGAAGTGCTTGCCGAGGGTCACTCCTCTGGGGTCCTGATCCCCAGCTAGTGACACAACTGAGGCACACCGACCAGTCTTGGAGTTAGACCAGGTTCCGATCCTAGCTCATGAAGTGCAAAAGACACTTCAGGCTTCTTTGGCCTCGGTTTTCTCACCTGAAAAATGGGCGTGACTTATCTCACTTCCCAGTGGTGCCGAGAGGCCAGATGCGGATGCTGCCTACAGAGAGAGCCGGGTGCTGACCGGGGGCCAGCTGTTCTCAGAAGCCTCCCCACCCCATTCTTGGACTCCAAGCCAGACCCTGGCCCAGCACTGACCTGGAGGATAGTTCCTAGACGGGGGTCAAGAATCCGAATCTTGCGGTCTTTACAGGCAGTAGCCAGCAGGCTGCCGTTGGTGTTGAAGGACATGGAGAGGATCACATCTTGGTGACAGGTAATTGTCCTCACAGGGTTTACGATGACAGACTCCTTGGTATCCAGGTTCCAGACCATCACCTGCACGGCGGAGTGCTGGCTCTAAGTGCAGAGGCCACCCCCGCCCAGCCCCCAGAGCCACACGGCTGACCAGGCTGCAGGGAAACACAGTATCCCCGGGAGGGAAGCCGCAGCTGGCGGCCAGGCCCAGAAGACAGGGAAGGAGGGTGGGCGCGCCTGTGACGGGAGGGGGAAGCCGGGAGTCAGGCTGTTGGCAGTGACAGAAAAACACCATCTGCCTTTGAGCAAGAAAGCCTCCATGCGGGCAGGACCCCAGGGGACCCACTAGCTAATCCAGGGGGTTTCAGACAGTTATCAGCAGCAGTTTCTACTTCCCGAGGATAACCAGGGCCCTGTGCAGCTCCAAGGCCACCCGTGCTCATAGCCTGGGATGTGAACAGCGCCCCCTGGAGTTGGGCGCAAAACAGCCTGCACATCCGCACAGGGTAGCCCAGCAGACAGCGCTGCACAAACAGGTTACAAAAGCACTTCTTCCCCCACGCCCCGCCCAGGTACTAGGGACTGAACCCAGGGGCACTTTACCACTGAGCTACATCCCCAGCTCTTTTTATTTTTCATTTTGAGAAAGGGTCTCCCTAAGTTGCTGGGACTGGCCTTGAACTTGGAATCCTCCTGAGTGGCTGGGTGTGCATCACATACCTGGCTTCAGAAACCCACTTGTGATCAGAGGGACGTGGAAGGCCCAGAGCCCTCCCAGGGCTCCCAGCCACTCCCTGACCCACCGCAGAGTCCCTGCAGTGCCTCTGCAAACCCAATACAGTCAGAGGGGAAGAGCTGGGAATCTACAGCTGGGGTCTCACCGACCCACTGGTCCACAGACACCGAGGCCAAGAAAAGGCAAAGGGACAGTCCCAGATCATACTGCAAGTCCGTGACTGAGCTGGACAGCATCCAGGTCTCCTGGGCTGTAAACTGTCCCCATTGATGGGCAGTCAGTGGAGCAAAGGAGGCTGGTCCCTTCCAGGCAGGCAGTACTGGCCTGAACAGTGTCCCCCTGAGAAAATTCATGTCCACTCAGAACCTCAGATGTGACATGATTTGGAAATACGGTCTTCACAGGTATAGTTAATTAAGATGAGGTCCCAATAAATTGGGGTGGGCCCTCAATCCAATGGCAGGTGTGCCTTCTAAGACCAGGAAAGAAAACACAGGGGTGTGGCCACGTGAAGGCAGAGATTGGGGTGACACAGCTACCAGCCAAAGGACCCCTGGAGCCCCCAGATGCCAGAAGAGGCACAGAAGGATTCTCCCTGGAGGCTCGGGAGGGAGCATGGCCTCCGAACACCAGGATTCCCAATTAGTCATCTCTAGAACTGGGAGCGAGCGAGTCTCTGTTGTCCTAAGCCCCCAGCTCGCGGGGCCTCCTCTGGGAAGCCTGGGGAAACTCGGAGATGGCCTCACCTTGTAGTCGTAGCCAGAGCTGAAGAGGATGTTGGCGGCCGTGGGGTGCCACTCCACCAGGCCCACCCTGCGCGAGTGGCCCACCAGCTCCTTCTTGTAGGTTGTGAAGTTCCTTGTCAGCAGCTGCTTGGGGATGTCCCAGATCTTAATCTGGTAGGGAGACAGGGTCCGGGAGTGTCATCCGGGGCACACTGGTACCTTTCCACCCTAAGCCACAGATCCGTGTGGTGCCCAGCAGAAGGTCGGGAGGAGCTCTACATAGCTGCTCCTCACTCAGAGGGGGGACAGGGCTTTACCTAGTCCTCCAGCCCAAACAGGGGCTGATTTTGATCAGAGATGAGTCTATGCTTCCAAACATGCCGCTAGGAAATCTTTACCATCTTTTTTTTTTTTTTTTGTGTGTGTGTGTGTGTATTAGGGATTGAACCTGGGATTCTTTACCACTGAGCTACATTCCCAGCTCTTTTTATTTCTTTGAGACAGGGTCTCTCTAAGTTGCTTAGGGCCTTGCTAAATTGCTGAGGCTGGCCTCAAACTTGTGATCCTCTTGCCTCAGCCTCTTGAGTGCCTGGGATTACAGCTGTGTCCCACCATGCCTGGCTTCATTTTTGCCATCTTGACGGCCGGAGGTGGTGGCCGGTGGGTGGACTGTAGGCATGTCTCCCAGGCTGGATGCCAGTGCAAATCTGCTTCTCAGCCTAGGAAGACTGCTCAAGAGTGTTCCTTCTCCTTGCCCAGAGGCCCAGAGTGGAGCCTCAACTGTCCGGATGAAGGGGTTGGGCTATGTTCTCAGGGCACTCGGGAATCACTGTGGGCCCTGGAGCAGGGAAGGGCAGCCACAGACTTAGAGAGGAACTGTGGGTGGCCTGGGGGAGGAAAGACCACTGGCCAGGAGGCTGGGCTGCAGGGGTCCTGGGCTGAGCTTCACCGTGAGGGCCTGGGGCTCCCTTCTAGAGTGGTGTCCTCTGAACACAGAGGGGGGCTGCCATGGCAAAGAGGAGGCCCATCCTGGGAACACGGATGGCGATGCAGCCAGGGATGGTGCTGCCTTGACACTCCTATTGTCCTGCCGGGTTCTCAGGTCCTAGGTCACGTGTGTACACTTCCCTTAGGGACAGACAGGTTTTTCAGGTGGGAGACTTTGTAAATCATTCAGCTATCACCTATTTCCTGATGGCCTTGGATCTGACACTAGGAAGCGAACTCTGTCTGGAGAGGCACAGGCTTCAGACAGGGCAGACCGGGGAGGGCTGTCACTGCACAGAGCTGGACTTGGCTGGAACACAGGCTCTGGGCAGGTCTGCTGCTGGCCCATCCCCATGGTGCCCAGCCCAGGGCCTGGGGGCACAGAGCAGACAGCCTGGCACTTTCCACAGATGCATTTACCCAGAATGAATCAGAATGAATTTGCTCCCCTCTGTTGAGGCTGGGGTGTCCCCCAAAGGCTCATGGAAAGTGGAAGGCTTGGTCTCCAAGGCCACAACGTTGGGGCTTTAGAAAGGGGATGAGATCGTGAGGCTTTGACGGCATCAGTGGATTGATTCACAGAGGGATTAAGAGCTTGATGGCATTGTGGGACATGGTGGCAGCTTTAGGATGGGGGTGAGGGGGTTAGCTGGAAGCACCTCTCACCGTGTGCCCTGCAAGGGCATTTCTTGTCCCCGGGCCCTTCTCTCTCTGTGTTACTTGCTGTCACGGGTGAGTGGCTTTCCCCTGCCACCCCCTTCTGCCACGAGGCTCTGCCCCACTCAGACCCAGTGCAGCGGAGCCAGCCCAGCGTGGACCGAACCTCTGAAAACAGGGGCCCAAATACATCTTTCCCCCTCTAGGTTGTCTTCTCAAGCATCTGTCACAGCTACAGAGACCTGACCAACAAACACCCCAATCCCAATAATCATGGCCACTGCCCCTGGGCTATCAGAGAAGCGACCGCGGCAGGCCACGAGGTCTTTAATAAACAGACCTTCTAGCTGGGCGCGGTGGCACACGCCTCTAATCCCAGGACTCAGGAGGCTGAGGCAGGAGGATCGTGAGTTCTAAGCCAGCTTCAGCAAAAGTGAGGTGCTAAGCAACTCAGTGAGACCCTGTCTCTAAAATAGAGCTGGGGATGTGGCTCTGTGGTCCAGTGCCCCTGGGTTCAACCCATGGTACCAAAAAGAAAAAAAAAAAAAAAGAGAGAGAGTGACTGTCCTTCTAGGGGGCTTTCAGAGCTGCTTGGAGAGGGGAAGGGATCAGGGAGGGTGGGCTGAGCTGGGGTGGCATCCTGCCAGCAGCCAGCCACACTCATTGCAGAAAGGCCCTCTGTCCCAGGACTCAATTGCCCTTTTGGTGAAACTGTCCCTTACGTTTCTCAGCAATGTCCTATATGGGCACGACACAAAGCTTCTGGGAAGTGCCTGCCTGCCTTGCCCCACACACTGTTCTGCCTCCTTCCATCCAGCAGGAGTTTCTGTGAGCCACTCTGTTTCCCTTCCTGCTGCAGCTGCCGGGCAAGAGCAGGCGCTCGGCCCACAGAGCTCTTTCCCGTGTCCTCCATCTGCGGCTCTGAGGAACGTGACACAGCTCAGCAGACAGAGGAGGGGCTCTGCTGTCAGTCACTCCTGTCATTGTAACGTGGCAAGGTGACCCTGCGCTTGTCTACCCGAAATACATTCTCCCTCGTGGGGTCGCTGGGAAGACGGAGTGAACTAAGTGTCCTGAGTCAAGAATGCAGCGGGAT